GTGATTGAGTGTATGTTATGATGTGCATTACGATCAGCACACACATCACACGCACACGTTTATGAGCACACAGTCACACATACTATGTGTATTATAGGGTATTTGAGGATTTTTAGGGTGTGATAGTTATGTGGTGTGTTAGTGAGTGTGGTGATGGTATTGTGTGGTATATATGGTTGTGTGAAGGTTATTTGTTAGTGGTTATGAGTAGTGTATATAGTTGATAGTGGTGGGTTGATGGGTGTTGTGGTTTATTGGTAGCCCTCTTATTGTGTATTTTTAGTTTAGTGTTGTGAGGGTGGTGAGGGAGTTTGATATATAGTATGTAATTCATGGCGTGGGTACAGTTAGGTGGTGGATGAGGCCGAGGTTTGGTTCGCGGAAAAGGTGACGTAGAATATGTAAGGTGGTGTTGAAGGGTAGAGTAATGTGGGATATTCAAAGCCAAACTTTAATAAATCGGAACACACACACACGTGCGCGCACATTTCATATAAATGTACAGCACACACACACACTCACAAACACACAACCACACACACATCACGGCACGGCGCACATTATATATGCAGCACACAGTGCACATATATATATATATTATAAGATATCGTATATATATATAGGATTATTAGTATATATATATCATACACATTATGTTATGTACACTTTATACTTGTCATCTCACACAACACAACCATCCACACACACAATACATGATCTGAGTGGTGCAGGTGAGCACACAAGTCTGGCAGATGTTGGTGTTTTTTGGTCACGCACGGACAGTACGACTCACGAGTATGCAGTTCGACGCATAGGATATATTTGATTGTTAGGGTTAGTAGGGTGTTAGGTAGGTGGGGTATTGAGGGTATTATTGGAGTGTGTGGTAGTTGCATGAGTATGTTAGGTTATTTTGTAGTGTGTGATAGTGGGTTGTGAGTTATTGGTTTTTGTTAGTGTTGTGTGTTTGTGGTTATTTGTGGTGTGTTTGTGGTATCTATGGGTGAGTCGTGATGGTTATTATTGTAAAAGTATAAAGTAGGTTGAGGTTATTATGGGTAACACTTGTATATATTGGATAGGTAGTTATGTATAATTTATATGTAGGTGTTGGGATGTGTAGTAGATATGGGTATAGGTGTATATGACATGATATTATGATATAGGGTGGTTATGGTATGTATTAGTTGGATGGTATTGAGGTATGTACATATATATATATATAGTGGTATTAGTAAATATGTATGGGGTAGATATTGTTGTGTATGAAGATACATTCTATATATATTATACATATATATATATATATAGTATATTAGTATTATATTTTATAATTATACTAATATTATATATATATGAAGATACATATCTAATCACACACCACACACACACACACACACACACACACACACACACACACACACATATATATATATATTATATATATATAATATATATATATATATATATATACTAAACGATGCAACCACGTGCGCCTGAGTATGGGACCGCCCCCCCTCTTATCAGCTGAGGACACTATAAAGGGGCGTCCTGTGGCTGGTCTCAGAGCCTCGAGTCAGCGACGATGGCGAACGCAGAGCTCCTGACCTCGTCCTCGGGCTTCTGACGGTGTCGGCAGGTGCGTCAGAGCGCAACAGCCAGGCGCTGTTTTGACTGGCCAGAAAGGATCCAATAGATTAGTTTGACTGGCCATAAATTATGCAATAGATTGTTTTGCCTGGCTAGAAATAGGTCAATAGATTGTTTAGACTGACTAGATATTGGCTAATAGATTATTTTGACTGGCCAGAAATTATGTAATAGATGTTTAGACTGGCTAGATATTGGCCAATAGATTATTTTGACTGGACAGAAATAATCAGATTATTTTGACTGGACTGGCTACATATTATCCAATATTATCCATGATGAGGAAAAATGGTTGCTTTAAGTTGTTGATAGTTTCATGGTAAAAAGAGATGGATGTTTGACTGTCATATCTCATCTGGGGATCCTAAGAGTAGATGATGTAGATGTTGGTAGATTTCTCTAAGTGGACTTTGTGAGATTTTTCGTAAATTTGTGGGTAGATTTCTATGAATAGAATTTTTAAAGTGGTGTTTGTAAGATTTTTCTAAGCTGATTTTGCAAGTAGATTTCTCTGAATAGATATTTTAAGGAGATTTTGTAAGTAGCTTTCTCTATATAGTCGGTAAATGAGCGGTGAATTAAACTAACGGCGAGAGTTTGAATTAAGAGCTTTATTATCATTATCATTATCATTACAATTATCATACATAGTACTACCAGTGTTGTTATGATTATCAATATCATTGTAATAATCAGAATCATATTGATTTTGATGTTAATGATGATTAAAAAATCATAATGATAACCAAAATAATGATAATGATAATAAAGATATGAATAAAAGTAATAATAATGATAACAATAGTAATAGTAATGATAATTACAGTTTTAATAATGATAATTACAGTTTTAATAATAATGATTCTAGTACTACTACTACTAATGATAAAGATAATACATAATAAGTATAATATAAATAAGAAAATAACAAAAATCAGAAAATAATAATTATCATAATACCATCAACACCCCACACTTCATACCTACACTTCAACCAATAGATTATTTTGACTGGACAAAAAATTATCCAATAGATTATTTTGATTGGACAGAAATATCCAATAGATTATTTTTGACTGGCCAGAAATTATCCATATAGATTATTTTTGAATTGGCCAAGAATTATTTTGGGCTCATGATTAGCTGGCCAGAAATTATTCAATATATTATTTTGACTGGACAGAAATTATCCAATAGATTATTTTGACTGGACAGAAATTATTCAATAGATTATTTTGACTGGCCATAAATTATCCAATAGATTATTTTGACTGGACAGAAATTATCCAATAGATTATTTTGACTGGACAGAAATTATTTCAATACTTATTTTGACGACAGAAATTATCCAATAGATTATTTGACTGACAGAAATTATTTCAATAGATTATTTTGACTGGCCATAAATTATCCAATAGATTATTTTGACTGGACAGAAATTATCCAATAGATTATTTTGACTGGACAGAAATTATCATAGAGTTATTACGACAGAAATTCCAATAGATTATTTTGACTGGGATTTATCAATAGATTATTTTTGACTGGCATAAATTATTCCAATAGATTATTTGACTTTATCAGATTGACCGATTATTTTGACGACAGAATTATCCATAGATTTATTTTGACTGAACAGAAATATCATAGATTTTGATTAATCTACCAGAATTTTGACTGGACAGAAATTATGATTATTTTGACTGGACAGAAATTATCCAATCAGATTGATTATTTGACTGACAGAAATTATCCAATAGATTATTTTACCAGAATTTTCAATAGATTATTTTGACTGATTATTTTGACTGCAGAAATTATCCAATAGATTATCTGGGACCAATAGATTATTTGAACAGAAAATTATCCAATAGAATTATTTTACTTGACAGAAATTATCCAATAGATTATTTTGACGACAGAAATTATCCAATAGATCTGGACAGAAATTATCCAATAGATTATTTTGACTGGCCAGAAATTATTCAATAGATTATTTTGACGACAGAAATTATCCAATAGATTATTTTGACTGGACAGAAATTATTCAATAGATTATTTTTGACTGCCATAAATTATCCAATAGATTATTTTGACACTGATTATTTTGACTGGACAGAAATTATTCAATAGATTATTTTGATTATCCAATAGATTATTTTTGACTGGACATTATTCATAGATTATTTTGACTGCCAATAGATTATTTTGACTGGACAGAAATTATCCAATAGATTATTTTGACTGGACAGAAATTATCCAATAGATTATTTTGACTGGACAGGAATTATCCAATAGATTATTTTGACTGGCCATAAATTATCCAATAGATTATTTTGACTGGCCATGAATTACGCAATAGATTATTTTGACTGGCCAGAAATTATCCAATAGATAATCTTGACTGGGCAGAAATTATCCAATAGATTATTTTGACTAGCCAGAAGATATCCAATAGACTATCTTGACTGGATAGAAATTTTCCAATAGATTATTTTGACTGGCCATAAATTATCCAATAGGTTATTTTGACTGCCCATAAATTACGCAATAGATGATTTTGACTGGACAGATATTATCCAATAGACTATCTTGACTGGCTATAAATTACGTAATAGATTGTTTTGACTGCCTTCCTGAATAATCTCACACGGAGCGCATTTCCCCCCAAGTTTCCTCAGAAGTTTCGTCTCCGGCGAAAATCTCTCCCAAGACCTTCTGCTCCTCGCCCTTCGACCCCGTGGGCGGCAAATGCATCCTGGTGGACATCTTCGAGTCGGTGACATGGGCGGAGGCCAAGTACCTGTGCGAGAAGTTCGAGGCCGAGCTGGTCACCCTCGAGAGTCCGGACTTCTTTGGGGAGCTTCTGGATTACTTGAATTTCAAAGGTGATGGTGGTCTTTTTTTATCTTTCTATCTGCTTCTTTCTCTATTTCTTTTTCTGTCTGTCTCTCTGTCTCTCTCCCTCCTCTCCTCCCTCCTCTCCCTCCTCTCTCTCTCGTCTCTGTCTCTCTGTTTCTGTTTCTGTCTCCGTCTCTCCCCCTCCTCCCTCCTCTCTCTCTCTGTCTCTCTGTTCCTGTTTCTGTCTCCGTCTCTCTCTCTCTCTCTCTTTAAGCGTCTAAGTATTATCTGCAGCCCTCTGACGTGATCAAAGAAAAGGGCATCAGCTCTAAGAAAAAGGAAAGATCGATGGAGTGAAAACGAAGTGATTTAGGTTAGATTATTCAGATGTAGTTATTTAAATGGTGATTGTGATGAAGAGATGAAGCGAGTTGGATTTTTTGCAAGGTAATGTCTAAAAAAATATGTATTTATACATTCTGACAGAACTGAGTGACCATGACTACTGGGTGGGCGCCAACGACACCGAGACGGAGGGAGAATGGGCGTGGCTTGATGGGACGCCCGTGAGAATGGGCACGCCCCTGTGGGCGCTGTACCGTTACAGCAGCAATGACTATGAGCAGGTAGGATTACAGCAGTGGCTTGTGGTGCCATGAGTCAAATCGTGAGACATAATCGACATGAATGAGCCGTATTCTGCTGCTCCTTTTGTAATCGCTTTTTTCCCCTGCCTCTCCCCCCCCCCCCCAGGAGCCGACCACGAGCAGCAGCAGCAGCAGCAGCGGCGACTGCGCCTTCCTGGACAAGACCCGCTTCCTGTTCATGGACGACGGCGACTGCGACAGCGCCAAGGCCGCCATCTGCCAGCTGCTTCCCGGGGCTTCCGCGTCTGCCGGGAAGCCTCGGCGTCTGCCCAAGCCACTGCCCAAGAGGAAGCCTAGACGCCGACCCTGATCAAGCTCCGCCCGGCTCTCCTGCCTCTGATGAAGGCGATTCTGGACTCGTGTCTTTAGGGGTTTACCTGATCCCTTGAGACATGTATGCACACATACATACATACTTACATACGCGCATGCATACATATATACTTACTTACATAGGCACATTCATACATACATACATACTTACATAGGCACATGCACACATACATACATACTTACATAAGCTCATGCATACATATATACTTACTTACGCACAAGCACACACACATACTTACATACACACATGCACACATACATACATACTTATATACGCACATTCATACATACATGCATGTGAACCTCCATAGAAAGATTAACATTGGATTAAAACTGATTGTAAATTTTGATCGTATATTGTTGAAGGATCTTGAGGAATAGAAAAAGAAAGATAGATGAATAAATAAATTATAA